ACAAGAGCCCAGTCAGGTGGTAACACTGTTTTATAGCATTTTTTGATACATAATATTTGCACATATTTATGAGGTACATGTGATATTTTGTTACATGTACAAAGTGTGTAATGATCAAATCAGGGTAGAGTATCCATCACCTTGAGTATTTGTCATTTCTATGTGTTGGTAACATTTCAAGTCCTCTCGGATTCTAGCTATTTCAAAATTAACTGTAGTCACCCTACTCTGATATCAAACCTTAGAATTTACTCCATCTAACTGTATGTTTGCACCCACTAATCTATCTCTTTATCTCCCCTCCCATCCTTCCCAGCCTCTGCTATTATTCTACTTTCTACCTCCATGAAATCAATGTGTTTTGCTCCCACATGAGTAAGAACACAACACACTTGTCTTTCTGTGCCTGATTTCCCTTAACATGGGAACCACCAGTTCCATCCAAGTTGCTGCAAATGACATGATAAACATGGGAGTGCAGGTATTTCTTTGATACACTGATTTATTTTTCTTTAGAGACCCAGGGACTGCGGGATCATATGGTAATTGTTTTTAGTTTTCTGAGAAATTTCCAAACTGTTTTCCATAGTGCCTGTACTAATTATTATAACATTCCCACCAACAGTCTACAACAGTTGCTTTTTCTTCACACTCTCACCAGTAGTATATTTTTTGTCTTTTTATTAATAGCCATGCTAACTGGGGTAAGGTATCTCACTGTGGTTCTGACTTACATTTCCCTGATAGTGATGTTGCACATTTTTTTGCATACCTGTTGGCCATTTTTATGCCTTGAGAAATGTCTATTCACATCCTTTGCCCACTTTGTAATGGAATTGCTTTTCTTACTGTTGGCTTCCTTGCATATTCTGGATATATTAGTCCCTCACTGGATGCATCTTTTGCAAACATTTTCTCCTATCCAGTAGGCTGCCTCTTCATTCTGTTGTTTCCTTTACTATGCAGAAGCCTTTTAATCTAGTCTCATTTGTCTATTTCTTTTAATATAGTCCCATTTGTCTATTTCTTGTTTTTGTTGCCTTGGTTTTTGAGGTCTTAGCCATAAAATGTTAGACCGTTATCCTCAAGTGTTTACCCTACATTTTCTTCTAGTAGTTTTATTAATTTCAGGTCTTAAGTCTTTAATCCATCTTCTGTTGAATTTTGCATAGAGTGAGAGACAAGGGTCAGGTCTCATTCTTCTGCATATGGATATCCAATTTTTCCGGCATCATTTATTGAAAAGGGTGTCTTTTTCCCAATGTACATTCTTGTTGCTTTTGCAAAAAAAATCAGTTGGCTGCAAATATGTGAATTTATTTCTGCATTACCTGTTTTGTTCCATCGGTCTATGTGCCTCTTTCTATATCAATACCATGCTATTTTGGTTATGACAGCCTTTGAAGACAGGTAGTGTGATGCTTCTAGCTTTTTCTGTTTGCTCAGGATTACTTTGGCTATTTGGGCTCCTTGTTGGTTCTGTAGAAAATTTAGGATTGTTTTATTTCTGTGAAAAATGACTGTTATTTTAGGGCAGGCACGGTGGCTCATGCCTGTAACAGCCCAGCATTTTGGGAAGCCGAGGCAGGTGGATCATGAGGTCAAGAGTTCAAGACCAGCCTGGGCAAGATGGTGAAACCCTGTCTCTACTAAAAATACAAAAATTAGCTGAGCGTGATAGCAGGTGCCTGTAATCCCAGCTACTCAGGAGGCTGAGGCAAGAGAATCACTTGAACCCGGGAGGCAGAGGTTGCAGTGAGCCAAGATTGCGCCACTGCACTCTAGCCTGGGCAACAAAGCAAGACTCTGTCAAAAAAAAAAAAAGAAAGAAAAAGAAAAAGAAAAATGACTGTCATTTTAATAGGAATTGTATGGAATATGTAGATTATTTTGGGCAATATTGTCATTTTAATGATGTTAATTCTTCTGATCCACAAGCATGGGATGTCTTTCCATTTGTTTTTGTGCTCTTCAATTTCTTTCATCAGTGTTTTGAAATCTAATTTTTTTTAAATGACATATTTGAATTTGAAAACTTATAATTAACTTTTACTTTATGGTAAAGTTATGATGGGAAAGTTGTTTTAAAATAAACTTATAAAAATTATGTCAAATTGCTCCTAAGAAAGGATCAGTAGAGATTTAGTTCTTATAGTATTTCCTCGACTATATTTTGCAAATTAGATTTTGAAAACAAAAGTTTAACATATTACTATGAATTCTTTGTATTTACATACTTAAAGCTCAGGTAGAAAAGTATTACAAGCTTTCAGTGATGTCTGCAATACAGATGGGAAAGGTGAATGCAAAGAGTAACACATATTCTATAGCAACAGTAAACATAACCATTTCTGTTGTCCCTCAGCTACCAAAAACTCATCTTAAGTCTCCAGATTTATTTATTTATTATTTAAAACCTCTGGGTTCATTCACTCATTCAGCCATTTATTTTTGTGAGCATCTGTTAGGCAGTCATGTGGCTATGCTAATCCTATCTCACTCTTCTATCTCCTTTGTCCTTCAAACCCCATTAGTGGCCAAGTCCCATTAATTTGGGCATGATCCACTTCTTCCCCTTTCCAAATTTCTGAAGTACAGGTCAAGCCTTCATTAACCACTGATTATGCATCAAATGGAAGATTATGCAGTCATTAAAACTACTCATAAAAAGTATACAACATGAAGAAAATCATTCAAGAACAGAAAACTATACAAAATATTATGTAATCACATCAATGTAAAAAAAGAATTAGGCATGGAAAAAAAATGAAGAAAATAATATACTAAGCTCTCTAGTGGATGGGTACTTTGCCTTTACTTTGCTGCATTTTGCAGATTTCCTATAATAAGTAGTTATTATTCTAGAAGAAAATATAAATGAGCTTTATTTTTAAAACTGTTTTAGTTAGATAATAAATTATTCCTGAGGTTCAGAAGTGCATATCAGAAACAACCAAAATAAACACTCAAGCATGCAGTTGTCTTAATCCTTTAACCTAATTCTTTCAAAACTAAAAGGTACTCACCCATGGCTCTTACTGTACTTCTACATGCCTAGAAAACCTCTGATCTTAATGTTCCAGTGAGACTCTGATGTCACCTTTCATAAAATAAGTTGTTCTTACCAACTATTCCACATTATTTAAAACCAGTGATTTGCTTTCTCCTAAACTCTAATTCTCATTTTTCCTTCAAAAGCATCCTAGATTTGCCTTTCCTATTACCACTGGTACCCACTGGTACCTGCCATCCTCTTTCTCCAGGATAATCTACCCTTAATTCTAGTACAAAACTAATCTTTAAACACTGCTTTCATAGAATCACTTGTCTTTTTGAAATGTGTAATAACTTCCACTTGACTCAAATCTATAAGCCTATTGTTGAACCACAAATCTCCATTCCATGTTACATTTTATTTCTTCAAACCAGGTAGAGCTACACTGTTCTTTAGATTTAAACCAGGCCTACTGTTTTCATTGTGTTATTCCCAATTTTCCACATAAAATGTCCTTCTTCTGGCCCCTGTTCCTCTAAAGGCCAAGCTTGAGGCCCAGTCCAAGTCCAGCCTCTTCCATGAATCGTCTCTTTAAGTATTCCAGCCTATACTAATATCTATTCTGACTCCCTGTTGCACTTACAGTTAATATCACAAAGTATAACAATTGCTCTGTGACCAATGTGTATAGATTGATTTTGTTTCCCCAAAGAAGGTACCAGACAAACAAGGTACCAGAAAGCAGAGACCAACAGGCCCAAGGAAAACGCTAGACACATAAACAATTAATACTAAATGAATAAATTTTTCTACAGTCAAAATACTAATGCTCCAAAACATTTTTTTTTTTTTTTTTTTTTTTTTTTGGAGACGGAGTTTCGCTCTTGTTACCCAGGCTGGAGTGCAGTGGCACGATCTCGGCTCACCGCAACCTCCGCCTCCTGGGTTCAGGCAATTCTCCTGCCTCAGCCTCCTGAGTAGCTGGGATTACAGGCACGTGCCACCATGCTCAGCTAATGTTTTGTATTTTTAGTAGAGACGGGGTTTCACCATGTTGACCAGGATGGTCTCGATCTCTTGACCTCATGATCCACCCGCCTTGGCCTCCCGAAGCGCTGGGATTACAGGCATGAGCCACCACGCCCAGCCTCCAAAACATTTTTTAAGTCACTTTATTTGAAGTTATATGGGTCAAAAAGTAAACCTGTCTCACATTTTATTTTTATCCTGCCAAAATTTAAAGTCTATTACTTGGTAGAAAAAAATAATCAGACAGGAAAGTTTAATTTTCTTCTTGCTTCATTTTATCTACTGAAACCAGGACTTTAGGAATAAAGTAGAACTGTACATTTCTCCAATCTCTTCTGCTTCTTTCAGAAGTATCTCCAAGTCAGAAGATATAAAAAGTACCTTACTTGCCTTAATTATATGGTAATATTTTTTGCCTGTTACAAAAAGAACAATAAAAAGACATGCTCAACACACAACTGTATGACAGTAAGTCTTTCTGATCAACTCAGGAAAGAATTCTTGAACTACTAAATCAGTTTTGTTCAAAGAAAAAGTGCAGGATCTAGCGAAGCAATGTACTTGCTCACGGTATCACTGAGCATGCCCACTTCTTCCCATTCTTTCCTTTCTCAAGTTTAAGTCCAGTGGCTCTGAAGATGTACCCTTCCCATTATTCTACCAAATCTGAACATAAATTCAACCCAACTGGAGACATTAAATTCTCCAGGTTTTCAAGAGTCACAGCATTAAGAGTCTAGACAGCCTTGAGATAAGTACCAGGTTTATACAACATAAGTTAGTAAAATAAATGAACACAAGAACTCTTTCATTCAGTGTAGATTATCAACTATTTGCACACATGCTTAAGCAAAACTAGCAAAGTAGAAAAGTATTTTGCTAGGAGTATTTGTTTGCGTCCCAAGAAAATCTGGAAAAGAACATCTTTTCAATTGACATGTCAATAAACTACTATATTATTTATATGTTAAGCTACCTGAAGCATGCCTCCCCTGATTCTGAGGCATTCTTTGGAAGAGATCATGGTTGTATTCATAGTATCTGTATTCTTCATGTGTACGATCTCCAAGTGGCCGCTTTCTCTGACCATCAAAAAAATTGTCTGAATAATAATATCGGGAACCAGAGTCTCCATTTTCAACAGCAAAATTAACTTCTGTTACAAATGACTGAGAAGAGCCATACTCTCTAGGGACATCTGCTAGACTTCTGGCAAGATAAGAAGGTGCAGATAATCTGTTGCTTTCTCTTCTCATTATTTCATGAGGTGTTCTTTGAATTGGAGTTCTAAGGAAACTCTGGTTTCTTGAAACTACCCCATCTCCAGAAGCTGAAAAGGCATTAGGGCTTGAATCTGGAAGACAGATATCAGTTCGTCTGGGAATTGTTGGACCATGCCGGATGAATGAAGGCATAAGATCTATAATGAAACAAAGGATAAAATTACCCTTTTAATAAGTAACAAAAGCAGTTTTCAAAAGTTGTTCATTTGTGTCTACAACTCCAAAATCAAAATGTCAGTCAACTTAAGAAAACACAATTTTGGGCCGGGCACCGTGGCTCACACCTGTAACCCTAGCACTTTGGGAGGCCAAGGCGGGTGGATCACAAGGTCAGGAGATTGACCAACATGGTGAAAACCCGTCTCTACTAAAAATACAAAAAACATAGCTGGGCGTGGTGGCACAGGCCTGTAGTCCCAACTACTCAGGAGGCTGAGGCAGGATAACTGTTTGAACCCAGGAGGTGGAGATTGCAGTGAACCAAGATTGCGCCACTGCACTACAGCCTGGGTGACAGCTCAAGACTCCATTTCAAACAAAACAAAACAAAACAAAAAAACAACAACAAGGAAACACAATTTTGGCTAGGTGTGATGGCTCACGCCTGTAATCCCAGTGCTTTGGGAGGCCAAGGCAGGCGGGTTACAAGATCAAGAGATCTGAGACCATCCTGGCCAACATGGTGAAACCCCATCTCTACTAAAAAATACAAAAATTAGCTGGGCGTGGTGGCGCGGACCTGTAGTCTCAGCTACTCAGGAGGCTGAGGCAGGAGAACTGCTTGAACCCAGGAGGCAGAGATTGCAGTGGGCTGAGGTTGTGACACTGCACTCCAGCCTGGGCGACAAAGTGAAACTCTGTCTCAAAAAAAAGAAAAAAAATCAGCTGTTTCTTCTCTTGCAATTACCTAGCACCAAGGCAGTAATCAAAAGCTAGAAAGCTACAAATTTAGGTAAGAAATTGAAAATAAAAATCTCTCATTTCAAAGAGGCACAAAAATGCTGAATCGGCTCAAAAACACCAAGCCGGAAACTATGTAATTATAATTCAAAATAGCAGATGATAGTAGAACAATGGTTTTTAGGATATAGTACTTTTATTTTTGAGACAGAGTCTCACTCTATCGCCAGGCTGGAGTGCAGTGGCGCTATCTTGGCTCACTGCAACCTCTGACTCCCCGGTTCAAGCAGTTCTCCTGACTCAGCCTCCAGAGTAGCAGGTATTACAGGCACGCGCCACCATGCCTAGCTATTTTTTGTATTTTTAGTAGAGACAGGGTTTCACCATGTTGGCCAAGATGATCTCGACCTCCTGACCTCGTGATCCGACAACCTTGGCCTCCCAAAGTGCTGGGATTACAGGCGTGAGCCACCGCACCGGGCCAGGACATAGTACTTTTAAATACGAAACTTGAAAACAGCGTAAAACATTCCTAGTGAGAGGGCAAATGCCTTTAAAACAAGAAAAAATCTGAATATGGAGACACCTTTACTATTCATTAAGTAAACAACATAGGAGACGTTCATATGAATAAGCTTCAGAAACCAACACTGGACAGAAACAAATTATCCAAATTAATAAGGCTCAACCCTTCATGTAACGAAAACAAAAGTATTCAGAAGTTACTTAAATGTGACAAACACAATTCATGATTTCAAGTAATGTTTGATAAACTTTATTTGTAGCAAACCAGCAAGCTATCGCTTAAAAACACCGAAAAAGAGGCCGGGCGCGGTGGCTCAAGCCTGTAATCCCAGCACTTTGGGAGGCCGAGGCGGGTGGATCACGAGGTCAAGAGATCAAGACCATCCTGGTCAACATGGTGAAACCCCGTCTCTACTAAAAATACAAAAAAATTAGCTGGGCATGGTGGCTCGTGCCTGTAATCCCAGCTACTCAGGAGGCTGAGACAGGAGAATTGCCTGAACCCAGGGGGCGGAGGTTGCGGTGAGCCGAGATCGCGCCATTGCACTCCAGCCTGGGTAACAATAGCGAAACTCCGTCTCAAAAAAAAAAAAAAAAACAAAACACCGAAAAAGCTAATCTCATGTGTAACTCAAAGCCAAGTCGTTAAAAAAAAGGTTTAAAAAAGAGGTTTCGAGTTACTGGTGTACTCAACAGACATAAATTTTGTTGATAGTATTGCAAGTACTACAATATACTGGAAGGCTGACAATGTGGTTATAATGGAAAAGCATGCTCTCCAACTGTGTGATCTTGGGAAAAAAACTAGAAATCCAGCTTCCCAATTAAAATTTGAGGTAACGTTTAAGTCACAAGGTTACTACCAGCTTCCAAGAAGGAAACTTACGCAAAGGGCCCGGGATACTGTGTGAGCAACAAAATAGCAGCTCTTCGCCCCACAAATGTTGTGAACACACAAGAATTAAAAATTCAAGAGGCTCAACTCAAAAAGTCAAATACTTAAGCAAAGCAGCGGGGGAGAGGAGGTGGGAGGTGGGGAGGGGTGGGATACACCCCATTACAAAAAACTTTTCGGGTGGAGGGATTCTCTAATGATAAGAAATCATTTTGAGTTGCCTTTTTGGAATCTCACGAATATAGCCAAATAGAAAGGTTTTGGGGTCTCTGCTGTGGGATGTAAGAGTGATGAGCCTTAGGGTGGCGGCTCCAAGAGCGACGGGTGTGCTTTTCACCTTGTCAACTCTGCACCCGGCAGCAGGACTAAGGAATTCCGCCCCAGAATTCGCACAACTTGCAGCACGGTCGAGAGATACCCGAAATGTTTGTAAACATAAGGCACATCACCACGCATCTAGAAGAGGAAAAAGGTGTCCCTGTCACATCACTTTTCTCCTATAGCATTAGGTGATAAGCAATTTACGTGTTTCCTAGTCTCTCTTCCAGGACTCAAAACCAACAACGCTCCGCCAGGTGGGGCGGGGCAGCATGTTATTTTTAGGGGCTGCCTATTTGGCTGGGTTGGGAGGGGGGAACTAACCCAAGTTTCTTACTCTTTATGGTCTTTCAATCAACGAATACCACGCTAGGCACAAGAAAATCTCAAAACCAGTATTTCACAGCGATCAGGGACGAAGGAGAAGCCCTGGGGAGCCGCCGGCGCCCCCGCCCAGGTCTCCGCAGCCCGTGGCCGCCCGGGCCAGGTGTGGGCGCGCCCCGCCTGACACTCACTCCGAAGCAGAGGCGACGTCTCCTTCTTCACGTACTTCCCCTGCACCTCGGCCGGCTTGGACACTTCGTTTTTGGTTTTCTTTCGGGACAGCATCCTTCACGACAAGGCCCGAGGCCGCGCTGAGCTGCCTCCCTAGGGCTCGGCGCCGGGCGCCGGCCGTCTCCGCCGCCACCTCCGCCGGCGCCGCCGACTCCTTCCCTCCCGAGCCGCCGCCTCGGCCTCCGCCTCCGCCGCCGCCTGTCCGGAGCCCGGGATTGCCCGCAGGGACTGCCGCATGTTCAGGGCGCTAAGCGCGCCGGCCGCCGCTCAGTCGCTGGTCAGTTCCTTCCCGGAAGTCGGCCCGCTCCGCGATGCTGCCCGGGGACGCCGTGAGCAGAGTCCAGCGACGCCGGGCCAGGGCCATGGTCCACCGCGGGCCGCCGGGTAACCGCTACCACTACCGCCGCCGCCGCCGCCGCCGCCTACATCCCGTAAACTTTCCCTGCGGCCGCTGGGAATTCTGGGAATCTCGGCGCCGCCAGGGCCGCCGCCGCCCCTCCCCCACCGCGGCTCCGGGCGGGGCTCGGGCGCCGGAACTCGGTTGCGGGCGCTTTGGGCTAACCCGCCGGACCCGCGGCGCCGCGGCAGTCCTCACTCATCCTCAGCGAGGAGCAGGCCCCGCTGACCAAGAAGATCAAGGACGACGGCTGTAGTGGTGAATGCGGGAGCTTGTTATATTCGAATGTCGTGGAGCTCACTCTCCACAGGATTTTGCTTTTTGCACCCCCTTGGGATCTCGGGGTACGCGGTGATCTTCCCCCAGACGTTGTACTCTGAGCGCGTTCTTCGTAGGGTGTCGTGGGCTGGTGAATTCAGTTCCCCAAGTAATGCAGAATGCTAACCATGTCCTCCAGGCTTGTGCTATGCCAAGTGATCTTTTCTGTTGGAAACGTTCATGCAGATTAACTGGAAATACGTTGATCCTCTACTGAGTATTAGGGAGTGCTTTTTTCTAATACAAAGAAAAAGTGGAAGAATGCAAGATGGAATTTCCAGTACTTTTTAAAGATACATTTAATGTTAGCATATTACAATTATTTTATTGCATCATCATTATCATTAGTATGATTAATAGCTGCATATTTCCTCCTGACGTTATGTGTCACGATCTTGGAATTTTTTTTTTTTTTTTTTTTTTTTTTTTAAGGCAGAGTCTTGCTCCGTCGCTAGGCACCAGACTGGAGTACAGTGGTGCGATCTCGGCTCACTACAACCTCCGCCTCCATGGTTCAAGCAATTCTCCTGCCTCAGCCTCCTGAGTAGCTGGGACTACAGGTGCATGCCACGACGCCCAGCTAATTTTTGTATTTGTAGTAGAGATGGGGTTTCACCATATTGGCCAGGATGGTCTCGATTTCTTGACCTCGTGATCTGCCCGCCTTGGCCTCCCAAAGTGTTGTCATTACAGGTGTGAGCCACCGTGCCCGGCCACGATCTTGGAATTTTGAGGACTTTAACCACTACAAGTCAAGACCCGGAATTTTGTATCTAAAATAATAGACTCTACTTCCTTCTATATAACTTAGCAAGACTGCCATATGTACAGGATAGGATTTGGAAAATATGATTAGATTCATCCCTGGGTGACCAACTTAAGGCTTTAATAATGGAGAATGCTTTTCCTGAGATCTAAAACATCTCACAGGAGATCTAAGACATATATCACGATTAACAAAAGACATGGAATTTTTTTACCACATAAGATTAAGAAAATGGTCCAATTTTGTTTTGCTATAAACAAACAAATGAGACATTTGATCTAGTATCTGTCTCCATATGCTGTTATGTCCCCTTGGTGCAGATGTCCAACTATTCATTCATTAACCAATAAATACTGATCACCCACTAGGCTAGGCACTGTGCGAGGTACTTGTGATATAGCAATAAGCAACACAGACAAAAATACATGTCTCAAAGAGAAAAAAATGAAGAAAGTAAGCAAAACATACTGTGTTAGGTAAGTGATGAAGTGAAAATAAGAGAGTACTCGCATTTTTAGGAAGGATGATGGAAGGACGAGAGAAGGCTCATGAGAAGGTGACACTGGAGTTGAGTGACAAAGTGAGGAAACTGGCCATGCAGCTATCTGGAGGAGCAGTATTCCAGGCAGAAAGAACAGCAAATGCAAAGTCACTGCAAGTGGCCGTGTTCCTGGCAGATTGGAGGAACAGTAAGAGGGTTTATGTACTGGAAAAGAGGGGGCGATGCAGCTAGAGAGCAACAGTAGTCACGGCACCTAGGGCTTTGTAGGCCATTGTAAGGAATGTCACTTTGAGCAGAGGAGTGACATGATCCCAGTTAATGTTTTAATAGGGCTGCTTTGGATGCTGAGTTGAGAGTGGACAATGGAGATAAGGGCAAAAGTAGGGAGATCAGTCAGAAGTTATTGCTGACTTGGACCCAGATAATAGGTGGAGGTAAGAGGACATAATTTGGACATATTTTAAAGAGAGCCAACCAAATTTGCTGACATTGCATATGGAGTGTGAGAGTATCACTCAGTTCCATGGGTATAAAAATCTTAAACAGAATTTGAGCTTGCTTACTAGAAGCAGAATGTACTCTAAGAGAAACATTAGAAAAACAGTTACTTGTTCCTGTGGTTCAGAAAAAAGGGCAAGTCCTAAAGCGTTGATAGTGTGCAGGGAGAAGAAAGAATGATGAAACTTAAGTGAAAACACAATAGGGTTTGTTACCCGTTGAGGCTATGAAGGTGGGAGATGACGGGGAAGCCGAAGAAGTGCCAGGGCTCTGCCCAAGGCTTACCTCAGAGAAAGACAAAAGGATATTAGTACCTTGTTAATAAAAGCAACTTTTCACACCTGGAGTTTTCCTAGAGCCTAAAATACGGGACACCTTTCACATGCATGGAGGAAAGAATCCTGGAATTTTCTAGCTGAAAAAGAATTCTGAGGTCACCTAGGCTCATCTCATTGACATTGAAAATAAACTAAAAAATTAAGTGTTTTGCCTCAGATTACATTCCTGGTTAGTGGCAGAATAGCATCAGAACTGGATTTTCTATTTCTTTTCTTTTTTTTTTTTTTTTTTCCTGAGACATAGTCTCGCTCTGTTGCCCAGGCTGGAGTGTAGTGGCTTCTGCAACCTCTGTCACCCAGGTTCAAGATATCCTCCTGCCTTAGCCTCCTGAGTAGCTGGGATTACAGGCACATGCCACCACATCTGGTTATTTTTTGTATTTTTAATAGAGATGATGTTTCCTTGTTGGCCAGACTGGTCCGGAAATCCTGGCCTCAAGTGATCTGCCTACCTCAGCCTCCCAAAGTGCGGCAATTATAGGCATGAGCCACTATGCCAGCCCCAGTTTCCTTTTGGGGCTCTTTTCTGCTACAGAACATTCAGAATCCCGCTAATGTGAGTCCAGACTGTTTCTAACAGTTGTTTTGAAAGCCACCTATGTTCTTTACGAAGTACTCCCTTTTACAAGGCGATTTCATTTCTTTGAATTGTAGCAGAGAGAAAGCTTTAATTAGGTGCTCTACTTGACACCTAATTTGCCTTTTTATCAAGGAAGGTACATTAATCAATAATCTGCAGGCCGAATTAGTGATGGCAATGCACAGCAAATATGTGGACTTTGAATATGAATCCTTAAATGTAAAAGCTTTGAATTCATGTCTATTTCATAGAAATTCCTTGAATTCTGAGAATTTTTATTAAGGAATTCAGATTTGCTATTGTTCTACAGAGCTGTAATTCTCCAGACACTGCCGTCAATAATGCTAATACTGCATTACATAATAGAGATTTTTTTTCCCTTCCAGTTGCGAGAAAACTGGCAATTAGGTAGTTTCTCATGTTTTAACAACTTTTCTTTTTAAATTAATTTAGGATTAATGTTGATTTTAGTGGAGCCTATAGGGTATGACCCTGGACTCAACTCATAGCATTCTGAGTTCTTGGTTGTCTCATCTGAAAATGAAGAAAGTGAACCATTTGATTTCTAAAGTGTCTTTCAGTCCTAGAATTTTCTGCCATGTAGGCAAAAAGGAATATGCAAAAATAAAAACTTACATTCATAGGATAAGAGAAACATTGGTGATTTTCTTTCTTCAAAAAGTTTGTTTTTTGGTTGGGCAGAGTGGTTTATGCCTGTAATCCCAGCACTTCGGGAGGCAGAGGCAGGCGGATCACCTGAGGTCGGGAGTTTGAGGCCAGCCTGACCAACATGGAGAAACCCCATCTCTCCTAAAAATACAAAATTAGCTGGGCGTGGTGGCGCATGCCAGTAATCCCAGCTATTCGGGAGGCTGAGGCAGGAGAATTGCTTGAACCTGGGACGCGGAGGTTGTGGCGAGCTGTGATCGTATCATTGCACTCCAGCCTGGGCAACAAGACTGAAACTCCGTCTCAAAAAAAAAAAAAAGTTTGTTTTAATTCAACTATTAAAAAAATATTAAAATGTCAGCTTTATATAAAATCATCATTAGCATAAAAATAAAATTTCATGCCAGGTTGTTACTTTCAAAGACAGCCAAGGTCTTTATGCTATGTTGACTTCCTCTTGTTAGAAGCATGTAAAATTTTAAAGGGTGAAAGATTATCCAAGAAAGACAACCAAAATGGAAATAAGCCCTACATATGGAGCCTCAAAAAAAAAAGAGAGAGAGTAACTTCCAGTCTACTCTCCAACTCACTCTTCTTGTTCACATAGCAAGATAAACTTAGTCTGTCTCAGGAAGAAGTAACAAGTGTGCCCAATTATGCCAATTATAGCTCTTCAAGTCTCTGACATTTTGCTATTAAAACATGGGAGGGGGCCGGGCACAATGGCTCGTGCCTATAATCCCAGCACTTTGGGAGGTTGAGGTGGGTGGATCACCTGAGGTCAGGAGTTTAAGATGAGTCTGGCCAACGTGGTGAAGCCCCATCTCTCCTGAAAATACAAAAATTAGCCAGGCATAGTGATGTGTGCCTGTAATCCCAGCTACCTGGGAGGCTGAGGCAGGAGAATTGCTTGAACTCGGAAGGCAGAGGTTGCAGTGAGCTGAGATCATGCCACTCCACTCCAGCCTGGGCAACAGAGTAAGACTCCATTTTAAACAATAAAATAAAACATGGGAGGGTGAATTCCTAAGTGTTCTCAAGGCAGAAACTTTGGTTGTTTCCTATGGAGGATAAAGGTATGTAATGTCTACACAGCTCTGAAGATATTATATAATTGCTTAATATTAGCAACTTAGCTGGGTTCCCAAACTCCTCTTAATGTAAGATGAATCATTCCCCAAGTAACAGAAAATTAGTATTACAATTCTAGTCAAAAGGAGTCAAGCTGGGAGAGTCAGTGTCTCTGAGCTTAGCTTTTGCTCTCATGTACTGTTGTTATTGCCTAGACTTAGAGGTCCTCTGAAACCTTGACAGAAAGCCAAAATGAGTCTTTTATTCTTGGCAGCACTGGCCTTGGACTTCAGT